ATTATTGTCTCAATAAACGCGCTGAAGGAACAAGTTGTGGAAGCCACCTCCATCCACATCTTTAAGGCCATTTTTGACATGGAATTCGAAGGTAGGAACCTGGAGGTGCTTCCGGGGCTTAGCGTCCCCGCGGCCCGGTCGTCGACCAGGCCTCCTGTCAACCAGGAATGGTTCAATTACAACACAACTGCGACAACACGGCCAAGAGGCGGGGGACAAGAGCTTGACCTCACCCCCCCCCCCCCTCGTGGTCACTGTTAGGCAAGTACTGATAACTACATGTTGTTGTTGTTGTTAAAGATTCGCTACCTGGAACAGAGTTCCAAGTAGCACGGGCTATGGTGAGCCCGTAGTGCCTTATAATAACTACAGTATGCGTCAAATATGAAGCGGTTATGACCCTTAACAAGCGGAGATAACCAGCGCATCTAACAGCCTGGTGGTCATTAGTCCAAATATACGTCAGTATCAACATGTTTTAATTGTCACTAATGCACTCTAAATTTTACGTTCTGGTCAATAGCGTTAAAATAGCGGTGCATTAAGGGAGACTTCGTAAAGACAATTGAATAACGTCATGAATTAAGCGTCTCCATAATGTGTCACTCCGTAAGAAAAGCAACTGTTTTGTCTGACCTGAAACGGACAAACCCAACCAACCCACCTATTATAGCCGGTCGACGCATAGAAAACGTTAATAACACGGTGCTTTAATCTTCACTAATACGTCGCATTTTTTAACGTAATGGTTTAATTACGTCAATAACCCGACGGAATGGGTGAACTGGTTGCATCAAGAGCAATTCTGGCCGTGTAGGTTATCTTGAGATGATTTCGGGGCTTTAGTGTCCCCGCGGCCCGGTCCTCGACCAGGCCTCCACCCCCAGGAAGCAGCCCGTGACAGCTGACTAACACCCAGGTACCTATTTACTGCTAGGTAACAGGGGCATAGGGTGAAAGAAACTCTGCCCATTGTTTCTCACCGGCGCCCGGGATCGAACCCGGGACCACAGGATCACGCGTCCAGTGTTCTGTCCGCTCAGCCACCGGCTCCCTGTGATCTGGTGCACAATCAGCACTTACTCAGGGCGTGGTCACCACCACCTCCCAGGGCGGGAAGCAACCAGTGAAAAATGACCACCTTGCTAAAGTATTGACCACGAAAAACGCACATTAAATATGATTTACAAATCATTACGTTCGAATTATCTGGCAACACTGACTCGTTCGTTTTCTGAGTTCGATTTGCACACCTCTCTAAATGCTTCAGCCCATGGAGTTATAATTCACATAACTTAATAAAATACTCTATGTAACCTTAGAGTTAATTAGTTAATTGGTAATTTGGGGTTCACACAGTGTATGGCACAGTCATGTCTGCCCCCTCTCTCTCTCTCTCTCTCTCTCTGCGGGACCAAAGAGCCAAAGCTCAACCCCCGCGAGCACAACTAGGTGAGTACATTAAGACGGGGGCCAGGAGCCAGAGCTCGACCACCACTGGTGCAGTACACAATACACAACACACCAACCACCCCAACACAAACTATCTCACGGCCATTCAGGGCCCTGAACTTTAACCAATGACCGACACGAATTCACAAATGATCAAATCACTTCAGATCTACACCTTAAACTGCTTGAAACACTACGCATATTTACCTGAATTTACCCGAGGGTTATCATTTCTAGTGGCCTCGATGGAGACAGGAAGCCTGCGGGTCGTCAAAGGCTACCACACCGCAGCCAGGACAGGCCTGTTGCGAGGCTCTCAACTTAGTCTCAGACTTTGGTGAGAGAACTTGTAAGGCGACTTATATGGTGAGTTCAACTTGGGTGTTGTGTGAGGCAATCAGCCGTAGTGCCCTCACTGTCTTGTGTGGTGACTCAAATTGGTGTATTAGTGTTGACATATTGAACATCACGTGAAGTGGGTGAATTATGATCCCCGTAATAGTAAACAAGTCCCGTGACCTTCACAAGGTGAAGTAGTTCACTGCTGCGCTGGTAAATGCCCTTCCTGTACCACCCTGCGATAGTGCAAGTGAGAGGTGGTCACATCTCAGGGGCACTATTTTCAACACTGCCATGTCCACCTTCGGTAAGAGGCAGAACAAGTCAGCAGATTGGTTCGAGGCCAGTGCAGAGGAACTGTTACTCCTCGTAGAGGAAAAAAGACGAGCTCTCTCATCCTACAAGAACCTGCCCTCAAAAAGGAACCTACAGGCCGTCCGTACTGCCTGCAGTAGAGTTCAACAAACTGCGAGGCGCTGTGCTAATGATTACTGGCTTCGACTCTGTTCCAGCATCCAGACAGCAGCCACTGTCGGCAACATAAGAGGCATGTATGAAGGGATCAAACAGGCAACAGGCCCTACACAAAACAGGGCGGCTCCTCTGAAGTCAGCCACTGGAGAGATCATTAAAGACCGTGATCAACAGATGAATCGCTGGGTGGAACATTACTTCGAACTTCCGACTGTGGAAGAAATTGAGAAAGCAGTGGATTCACTTTCCTCAGGGAAGGCCCCAGGAGACGACGGGATTCCGCCTGAAGTTCTCAACTACGCTCGTGGAACACTTAAAACTGAGCTTCATGAACTTCTGTGCCAGTGCTGGAGGGAGGGCTCGGTGCCACAAGACACGAGAGATGCTAACATCATCACTCTCTACAAAAATAAAGGTGACAGAAGCGATGTAAACAACTATCGCGGCATATCCCTCCTCAGCGTCGTTGGCAAACTCTTCGCCAGGGTCGTCTTGGTCAGGCTTCAGATTCTTGCTGAAAGAGTGTACCCTGAGTCACAGTGTGGTTTCCGAGCAGAGAGGTCAACCACTGACATGGTGTTCTCCCTGAGACAGCTTCAAGAACATTGCAGGGAGCAGAGAAAAGCCTCGTACATCGTCTTCATTGACCTTACAAAGGCCTTCGACCTTGTGAGCAGGGACGGACTCTTCAAGATCTTGGCCAAAATTGGCTGTCCACCCACCCTACTCAGCATGATACAATCGCTCCACAAGGACATGAAGGGGACAGTCGTGTACGACGGCTCAACTTCTGAACCATTCAACATTAACAGTGGTGTTAAACAGGGATGTGTTCTTGCTCCAACCCTGTTCGGCATCTTTGCGATCCTTGTCAAGCATGCCTTTGAAACAACCACAGAGGGCATCTGTCTGGTTGATCTCTGGTTGATGGGGTTCTGGGAGTTCTTCTACTCGTGAGAGTTTGGTCCACCAGGCTGTTGCTTGGAGCGGCCCGCACGTCCACATATCCACCACAGCCCGGTTGGTCCGGCACTCCTTGGAGGAAAGAATCTAGTTTCCTCTTGAAGATATCTCCGTACAAGATCTGATGGAAAGCTCTATAATCAATCCAGACTCCGAGCAAAGACAAAAGTACAGATGCGAATCCTCAGGGAGTTCCTCTTCGCCGGCGACGCAGCGATCACCACACACACAGCACAAGACCTGCAGCAGCTACTCAACCGCTTTGCCGCAGCCTGTTCCACATTCGGCCTGACAATCAGCCTGAAGAAGACACAGGTGATGGGACAAGACGTCAATGAGCTACCCTGTATAAACATCGTAGACTATGTGCTGGAGGCGGTCCACGCGTTTGTGTACCTGGGCTCCACAATCTCAGACACTCTTTCCCTGGACACTGAGCTCAACAGGCGTTTCAGGAAGGCTGCAACAACACTAGCCAGGCTCACAAAGCATGTTTGGGAAAATGTCAAACTGACAGTGCACACCAAGGCACAAATCTACATGGCATGTGTGGTGAGTACACTTCTCTACGGCTCAGAATCCTGGACCCTGCGCTCTCGCCAGGAGAAACGACTCAATACCGTTCATATGCGGAACGTGAGTCGCATTCTTGACATCACGTGGAAAGACCACGTCACCAACAACACTGTACTTGAGAGAACAGGAGTCCCTTTAATGTTCACTCTCCTGAAGCAGAGACGCATGCGATGGCTGGGACATGTCACACGCATGGTCGATGGCCGCATACCGAAGGACCTCTTGTATGGAGAACTGGCATCAGGAAGGAGACCCACTGGAAGACCTCAGCTGCGTTTCAAAGATGCCTGCAAACGCGACCTCAAGCAGATGAACATCGACATCAACACTTGGGAGGCGGCAGCTGCGGACAGATCTGCCTGGAGATGTAAAGTGCAGAAGGGACTCCAGCAATTCGAGGATGAACTGAAGAGGCAGGCGAAGGATAACAGACTTCAGAGGAGGTCTCGACCACTGTCAGACGCACCCGCTTCGGCGTTTATCTGCGCTCGCTGCAGTCGGGACTGTCATTCTCGGGTTGACCTTCACAGCCACAGCAGGCGCTGCATCCAACTACACTCCAACAACTAGACACCCAGGGCACAACTCCATAACCCCACGGGATTGACGGATGCCTACTACTAATAGTAAATATATAATGGATTAACTTATTTTTGTAAATTGTCTTTAATTCTGATCCTTAGATCTTGGATTTTGCAAGTTAGAGTGGAAAGCTCTCTGAGGTTTACTGGCTTAAGATTATGACTTAAAGAGTCTTGGATATATGAGTTATACACACAGAAATCACAATAGCGTGATATATCAAATGAATAAATCCACAAAGGCCGTAATGATCGTTCAGACTTACGTCCAGGATGATCCCAGACGCGCCTTAATCGACTGCACCACGACATGAATAAGAATTGCAACCGGGATTGCTACTGCCCTCACACGTTCGAACCCTCATCACAGCTCTTGTGGATTTATTCAGTTGGTATAACACGCTATTGTGGTTTCTGTGGGTATTGAAGTAAGTGCGAAGAGGTAGAACAGCTGGTTGACAGAGCCCGGGTGCATGGGGGGAATTGTGTAAAACCCTGTTTGTGTCTCTGAGAGGCTGCAGGAACCATGTGAGGGCAACAGTACTCCCGGTTGCAATTCTTATCCAAGTAGTGGTGCAGTCGATCGTTAATAGGATAGGATAGGATATTAAGCCCATGTACGCCCCCTTCCCACAGCCCCGGTACGCCCCCTTCCCACAGCCCCGGTACGCCCCCTTCCCACAGCCCCGGTACGCCCCCTTCCCACAGCTCCGGTACGCCCCCTTCCCACAGCTCCGGTACGCCCTCTTCCCACAGCTCCGGTACGCCCCCTTCCCACAGTCCCGGTACGCCCCCTTCCCACAGCCCCGGTACGCCCCCTTCCCACAGCCCGGCTACGTCCTACAGCGCCAAGTTACACATGATACAAGGTTCTTCACATCAGTATGCAACACGCAAACCACAACAGCTAGTTTTTGTCTGAAACAACTAAGCAAGTATATAGCTGGAATTCCAGGTGGTTTTCCAAAGGTGACATCCGTTTACGGATGTGTGTCTGGCTTGGCACATCCGGCAGCGTCCCCACACCGGGGGGGGGGCCAGAAGTGTTTGGAGGGCTCTGGTGGTCCTCGAGCACTGTGGACCCCTCGAGGAGGACCTCAACCCTCCAGAGGTGGTCCTCGAGCACTGTGGACACCCCGAGGAGGACCTCGACCCTCCAGAGGTGGTCCTCGAGCACGGTGGACACCCCGAGGAGGACCTCGACCCTCCAGAGGTGGTTCTCGAGCACTGTGGACACCCCGAGGAGGACCTCGACCCTCCAGAGGTGGTCCTCGAGCACTGTGGACACCCCGAGGACCACCTCAACCCTCCAGAGGTGGTCCTCGAGGACTGTGGACATCCCGAGGAGGACCTCGACCCTCCAGAGGTGGTCCTCGAGCACTGTGGACACCCCGAGGAGGACCTCAACCCTCCAGAGGTGGTCCTAGAACGCTTTGTTTATGCATGAATAAATGCTTCGACACAACTCTCAACCGATGGTTTTCTTATCGAGGACGACCGCAGCTTTAACGAGGCTAGCGTGAGGACGGGATGCTGGAGGAGGGAGGGAGGGAGGACCACCTAACTACCACCTGCCCTGGTAACCTAATCACCTACGTACCGTAGCAGTAGTTAAGGGTCATTCTTGAGAGCGAATGCCTAGGGATCAAATGTTCCTGGGCGCCTGACAGCTTAGTGGACAGCGCTTCGGATTCGTAGTCCTGAGGTTCGGGGTTCGATCATCAGTGGAGGCGGAGACAAATGGGCAAAATGTTTCTTTCACCCTGATGCCCCTGTTACCTAGCAGTAAATAGGTAGCTGGGTGTTAGACAACTGCTTCGGGCTGCTTCCTACGGGTGGAGGCCTGGTCGAGGACGGGGCCGCGGGGACACTAAGCCCCAAAATCATCAAAATCATCTAAGGAACAAAGTTACATTTTTTCGTTCCTGGTTAGGTTAAACCCACTTCAGATGAGGAGGGGGAGAGAGAGAGAGAGAGAGAGAGAGAGAGAGAGAGAGAGAGAGAGAGAGAGAGACAGAGAGACAGAGAGACAGAGAGACAGAGAGACAGAGAGACAGAGAGACAGAGAGACAGAGAGACAGAGAGACAGAGAGACAGACAGAGAGACAGAGAGACAGAGACAGACAGAGAGAGAGAGAGAGGAGACAGAGACAGAGAGAGACAGAGAGAGAGAGAGAGAGAGAGAGAGAGAGATCAGCACCTTGGGATCTCCCGGAGAAAACAACTCTCACTTGAACCAGTCTTACGGAAGTTCCCGTCAGTCACCCTTAACGACCCTTCCCCCCCCCCCCCCGCTTCAGCGACCTCCCCAACCACCTCCACCGGGACAATATCCCAAGCCAGACCTAACTACCCAAGCCAGTCCTAACTACCCTGTCCTCTCACCTAGGACGCCATCGACCCAAGGTCTTACAAATGGTGATTGAAGGACCGTAATAATAACGTTTCTAAACCTCTTGACTCGATAGGTTAGGTGGGTTGGTTGGGTTAGTACGATTCTGGCCAAGCAAAACAGTTCGGTCGACACAGGGCCCTGCAGGGTCTGGGTTCGATACCCGATGGTCCATGGTTCGATACCCACCAATAGTCCTACCCGAGCCCTCCCCTCACCCACCCTTAACCTCAGTTCATCAATATATCTTGTTATCTCTCTCTTTATCGTGTTAAACAATTTGCAGCCAGTGGATATCCTGGTATCTTTTCCCGGTCGTGATAGCACGCGTCATTATGGTCGAGAGAGGCGTGTTGGAGCTTGACATAGCGAGCCTTAAACTATCCTCTGGTCGTGGAAAGCCTTGCTTCCTTACGTTCGTGTCAAGGTGTGTGTGTGTGTGTGTGTGTGTGTGTGTGTGTGTGTGTGTGTGTGTGTGTGTGTGTGTGTGTGTGTGTGTGTGTGTGTGTGTCAAGGGGTGTGTGTGTGTGTGTGTGTGTGTGTGTGTGTGTGTGTGTGTGTGTGTGTGTGTGTGTCAAGGGGTGTGTGTGTGTGGTGTGTGTGTGTGTGTGTGGTGTGTGTGTGTGTGTGTGTGTGTGTGTGTGTGTGTGTGTGTGTGTGTGTGTGTGTGTGTACCTTTCTTGGTAGATACCTGGGTGTACCTACACCCAGGTGCACACACACACACACACACACACACACACACACACACACACACACACACACACACACACACACACACAGATAGGCGGGACCAAAGAGCCAGAGCTCAACCCCCACAAGCACAACTAGGTAAGTACAACTAGGCGAGTACACACACACAATTTCTAGACTGCCAAAAGGCCTTTGATACGGTACCGCACATGAGACTGCTATACAAACTTGAGAGGCAGGCAGGAGTAAGCGGAAAGGCCCTAGTATGGGTGAGGAACTGCCTAACAGGAAGGAGCCAGAGGGTAATGGTAAGGGGCGAGAAGTCGGACTGGCGAACAGTAACAAGTGGAGTACCTCAAGGATCGGTGCTGGGACCAATCCTCTTTCTAATTTATGTAAACGATATGTTTACAGGACTGGAATCCTACATGTCGATGTTCGCGGATGACGCAAAGTTGATGAGAAGAGTTGTCACAGATGAGGATTGCAGGATTCTCCAAGAGGACCTGAACAGGTTACAGAGATGGTCAGAGTATTGGCTACTGGAGTTCAACACGAGTAAATGTAAAGTTATGGAAATGGGACTAGGAGATAGGAGACCAAAGGGACAGTACACAATGAAGGGGAACAGCCTACTTGTGACGACGCGAGAAAGAGACCTGGGTGTGGACGTAACACCTAATCTATCTCCTGAGGCACATATAAATAGGATAACGACAGCAGCGTACTCTACACTGGCAAAAGTTAGAACAGCATTCAGAAACCTAAGTAAGGAGGCATTTAGGGCGCTTTACACTGCCTACGTAAGGCCAGTCTTAGAGTATGCCGCCTCATCATGCAGTCCCCACCTGAAGAAGCATATAAGGAAACTGGAAAAGGTTCAGAGGTTTGCAACGAGACTCGTCCCAGAGTTACCAGGGATGGGGTATGAAGAGCGCCTGAAAGCACTGAGCCTTACGACACAAGAAACAAGAAGGGAGAGGGGGGACATGATAGGAACGTATAAAATACTCAGGGGGATTGACAGAGTGGACATAGACGAAATGTTCACACGGAATAGTAACAGAACGAGGGGACATAGGTGGAAGCTGGAAACTCAGATGAGTCACAGAGATGTTAGGAAGTTTTCTTTTAGCGTGAGAGTAGTGGGAAAATGGAATGCACTTCAGGAACAGGTTGTGGAAGCTAATTCTATTCATAATTTTAAAACTAGATATGATAGGGAAATAGGACCATAGTCATTGCTGTAAACAACCGATGCTCGAAAGGCGGGATCCAAGAGTCAATGCTCGATCCTGCAGGCCCAAATAGGTGAGTTCACACACACACACACACACACACACACACACACACACACACACACTCCCAAAGGTATCATTTGGGAGATGAAATTCTACACGAGTCAGAGAGAGAGAAAGACCTGGGGTTTGATATCATGCCAGACCTGTCCCCTGAAGCCCATATCAAGAGGATAACATCAGCGACATATGCCAGGTTGGCTAACATAAGAACGGCATTTAGACACTTGTGCAAGGAATCATTCAGAACTTTGTATACCACATATGTCAGACCAATACTGGAGTATGCAGCCCCAGCATGGAGTCCATATCTAGTCAAGCATAAGACCAAACTGGAAAAAGTTCAAAGGTTTGCCACCAGACTAGTACCCGGGCCGAGAGGTATGAGCTACGAGGAGAGACTACGGGAATTAAACCTCACGTCGCTAGAAGACAGAAGAGTTAGGGGGATATGATCACCACGTACAAGATTCTGAGAAGAAGTGATAGGGTAGATAAAGATGGGCTATTTAACACAAGGGGCACACGCACAAGGGGACACAGGTGGAAACTGAGTGCCCAAATGAGCCACAGAGATATTAGAAAGAACTTTTTTAGTGTCAGAGTGGTTGACAAATGGAATGCATTAGGCAGTAATGTGGTGGATGGTGACTCCATACACAGTTTCAAATGTAGATATGATAGAGCCCAATAGGCTCAGGAACCTGTACACCTGTTGATTGACGGTTGAGAGGCGGGACCAAAGAGCCAGAGCTCAACCCCCGCAACCACAACTAGGCGAGTACAACCAGGTTAGTACACGTGACGCTAAGCAACAAAACAGCGTAACAAGCAACTCACACAGCCAAACGAGGCACCTGCAGGCTTCCTGTCACCGCTGCACCAATGCGTGTCCACCTGATTGTAGTAATCAAGCAGGGAGGTCTTCCTCAGGCTGTCTGGCAGCTCCCTCCTGCCTCCCTCCTCCTCCAGGGTGTAGGAGGACCTGACTAGCCTCCTGGGTGAGGCCTCCCCCCCCCAGGAGGCTGGGGTTCTCAGTAACAGCTTCACTGCCACACTGTGGGTCGCTTCACTGCCACACTGTGGGTCGCTTCACTGCCACACTGTGGGTCGCTTCACTGCCACACTGTGGGTCGCTTCACTGCCACACTGTGGGTCGCTTCACTGCCACACTGTGGGTCGCTTCACTGCCACACTGTGGGTAGCTTCACTGCCACACTGTGGGTCGCTTCACTGCCACACTGTGGGTCGCTTCACTGCCACACTGTGGGTAGCTTCACTGCCACACTGTGGGTAGCTTCACTGCCACACTGTGGGTAGCTTCACTGCCACACTGTGGGTAGCTTCACTGCCACACTGTGGGTCGCTTCACTGCCACACTGTGGGTAGCTTCACTGCCACACTGTGGGTAGCTTCACTGCCACACTGTGGGTAGCTTCACTGCCACACTGTGGGTAGCTTCACTGCCACACTGTGGGTCGCTTCACTGCCACACTGTGGGTCGCTTCACTGCCACACTGTGGGTCGCTTCACTGCCACACTGTGGGTCGCTTCACTGCCACACTGTGGGTCGCTTCACTGCCACACTGTGGGTCGCTTCACTGCCACACTGTGGGTCGCTTCACTGCCACACTGTGGGTCGCTTCACTGCCACACTGTGGGTCGCTTCACTGCCACACTGTGGGTCGCTTCACTGCCACACTGTGGGTCGCTTTACGATTTTCAACTTTTTTCACAGTTTCTTGCAACTTTTCTTTGTTACTTTTCCTTTGCACCTTTTCCTTGGCACCTTTTCCTTGGCACTCTGTCCCTGTGAAACACTGAACAATTTAATGACAACTATGTAGACAACACAGGCACACGGGGAGGCCTTAATACCCGTCCCCCGTGTGCTGCAGTTTCTCTTCTTCAAGGCTAAGGGTCTCCTACAACCACGAGCGGCATCCCTTACTTAATATATATATTACATATATACATAGTATATATATATATATATATATACGCAAATATACACAGTACTGCCCGTGGAAGCCTTCCCCGGTACCTATTTCTGGTGGGTGAACA